TTTCAATAAATGGTGCTGGAAAACTGGATAGCACCTGTAGAAGGCTAAAACAAGACACCAACCTTTCACCTCCCACAAATCAACTCACGCTGGATAACATACTTAAACCTAAGTATGAAACTTTTAATTCTGGAGGAAATGTTGGAAAGTCTCCTAGACATCGGCCTAGGCAAAGAGTTTTTGAAGAAGTCAAGGCAATCACAGCAGCAACAAAAAATAAATAAATGGACATGATTCAAACTACAAAGCTTCTGCAAGCCAAAGAATAGTCATGAAAGTACAACAGGAAACCTACAGATGGGAGAAAATTTTGCATCCTATGCATCTTGATAAGGACTGATAACTAGTATACTTAGAACTCATGAAATCAGGAAGAAAAAATCAAATAACCCATAAGAAAGGTGGCAAAGGACTTGAACAGAAACTTTCTAAGACAGCAAAGTAATGGCACAAACATATTGAAAAATGCTCAATATCTCTAATCAAGAAATGCAAATCAAAACACAATGAGATATCATTTACTCCAGTGAGAAGCCTTTATCAAAAATTCGCAATAAAATGCTGGCATGGGTGCGGAGAGAGAGGAACACTCCTTACACTGCTGGTGGGGATTGGCAAACAGTTCAACTCTGTGGAAAGGCAATATGGAGATACCTTAACCGATACAAGTGAATCTACCATTTGATCCAGCAATCCCATTGCTGGCATCTACCCAAAGATCCAATGACACTCTACAAAAAGACACCTGCACTCGAATGTTTATAGCAGCACAATCATAATTGCAGGCTGTTGAAACAGCCCAAGTGCTCATCAAATCCAAGAATGGATTAATAAAATGTGTATATGTATACCATGGAGTATATTCAGCTCTAAGAAAAATGGTGATATAGCAATCTTTTTTTCCTGGTTAGAGCTGAACCCATACTATTAAGTGAAGTTTCCCAAGAATGGAAAAACAAGCACCACATATACTCACAGCAAACTGGTATTTAACTGAGTAGCACCTAAGTGACACATAGTACTACAGTATGGGTATTGGGCAAGGTGGGAGGGAGGTGGGGGTATATACATATATAATGGAGTGAGACCATCTGGGGGTTGGTCCTGCTGGAGACTCAGACTTGTGGGGGGAAGGGGGGAAATGGGCATTTATTGAAACCTTAAAATCTGTACCTCCATAATATGCTGTAATAAAAAAAAAATTATGTGGACCAAATTGCCAATAGTGTCAAGGTTGAGAAACCACACCCTATATTTAAAAAGAAATGAGGAACTCTTGGTCCCTTGATTCTTTTATTTATTTTTTCCTTTTCTCTTTACTGTGAAACAAATTGGCTGCTTATTTATATGCTTCAATAAAATAAATCTACATAAATGATGATGGCAGTCATCAGGGCAGTGGGACAGTGAATCAATTTTAATAGAATGAAATAATCCTCTCTTTAGCTTTTATAACCCAGACTACTTTTTCATTAAGAATTTCACAAGTGTATCTTTAAGAAACTCAAAAATTATCTATCTCAGCCTCTTGACTCTCTGTCAGGAATGATGTATTGAACTATCTTCACCTTAAAACAATATCACTTTATTATTAGTTACCAGAAACTGCTTTATGATTCTGAAAAAGAACAATTAAAGAGAAAAAGAGAAGATAGCCTGCTTAGATGAACTCAACTATAGGCAAAAAGTGATTAAAAAGTGTTGAATCTCATAATGTTTAGAAATTGCATGCTCTGTCTTAGATTAATAAATAGAGTGCATTTGAAGCAAGCAACTACAAAATCATTCTCAGAAGATATATTTTTAAAAGGGAGGCATACCTCAAACATGAGGTCATTATAGTATCTTATCAAAGTATTAAAGAATTTTATCTTTGCTATTTCAACTACTGAAGTGACACAGAGAATATGATTATCTTCTGTGCTATTTTTTAGTTTACATTTATAGAGAAGCCATTAAAAATGTGATATACAATATCATTGCTTCATTGCTTTATGAGTATTTTTGCCTATACTTACTAATGAGTTTAGAAAGAAAAAAATTTGCATTTGATAAAGAATTTTTAATAGCTTAAAATCTTTAAAATAAAAAGATTCTGTCTTTTAAAAAAATTTAGAACTTGTGAAAAGTCCCAAGGAAGTAATTTAAGATTACATGCTAGATCATCACCCAGAGGATATTACTATTAAAATTTTATGCTTCCAGTTTTATGCACACATGCATATATAAATGGAACCATTGGGTTTGCTGTTTTATGAAATATTTTATTCTGTTACTTTGAAGAAAATTGAATGGTTAAAAATAATCATTTAATAACTAGTTTGGTCAAAAGGATAATTGTTACTTTTAAAAATGGATCTGAGTATAATTAGCCATCTGATAACAAGTTATTTTTCTTTTTCCTTAGCCTTACTGTTTTAAGTTCCATAAGAATCATTTCCCATTCATAGGAAAGTCATCTAAAAGTTTCTTTAAACTATTTCAAATGTGGTCTAGAGTGCAGTGTTCCTCATAAATACATTTTCTAAGTGATTGATTGAAAATATTTTGACTAGTACTCCATTTTCCTACATCCTTTTCTGCAAAATGCGTACATGCACATATGCTAACTTGGTCACTTTCTCTCTCCCTTTTACTCCCATTTCTTTAAAAAAAATATATGTGGCCTGCTCATAGCTATTCTTACTAATGTTGGGGTGTTTACCTTTTATGAGTGCTTTTCTACTGAAGGTGTCTGATTTTCACCATTGCTGGGGTTCTCAGTGCTTTCAAATCTGCAGCTTGCCTCCTGTGCAACTTCTTACAGAAGTTCCTACATTGTTTTACGGGTCTCAACTTTTCTGGCAGGATTTTAAAGCAAATTGCAATCTTCAAGTTTTATGTTTCATAATTTTTATGAAAGTGAGCTTATGTTTTTTCCTCCCAGTTTTACTTTTTGTCAGGAGGAGAAATGATTAAGACTCAAAAATAAGTTGTTACAAAGTTCATAGCAGTAATCTTTAAAAATTTTTTTTAAGTAAGGGGCTTTATGCCTATTTTAAAATTAAAACTACAACGTTTAATCAATTGCAAATGATAGACTCGTTCCATTACAGTATTGCTAAGAGGCATATGATTTGATTAAACAGGAAAATACAGTCTCATAAAGTTATTCTTAACGTGATCTAGTTAGTATAAAAAGTTATCTTCTTTATAATTCCTGCCTAATCTTTATTATGGCAGTTCAGAAAGTATGGGGACAACTTTAGGAGGATTGATACTCTCTGGAAGGGTCTCAAGAGTTATATTTGAGAAGATATTAAGTGAGACTGTGAGTAACATGGTATCATTTTCAGAAAATTATATCAAGAAATGACTCTCTGGCTTCTTCTTACTCATTGCAAATCTCTCTATAGCCAACCTAAGCATTATATATCAAGTTATTATTCACTCTGCTGCTCTAGTAGCAAAAACCCATTCTATTTTTTTTGACTTACCATTCTATCAACCTGGGCTCACCTTATACCATAATGATAGGTATGGTCAATCCCCCAGAATTAACTTTGTGTACCTTGCAATATTAATCTATTAATTTCTTACTTCATCTTACTTCTGGGATCATCTTTTTTTAAAAGGGATAAAAAAAAAAAGAAAAGAAAGGAAAGGAAAGAAAGGAAAAGAAAAGAAAAAAAAGAAAAAGAAGAAATTAAAAATATTCAAAACTATTGATTGAGGGGCTGCTTATCTAGAAAGCATTCAGCACTGCTTATATCCATTTTTAACATTAGTAAAATATTTATTTTAGTTACAAGATCTGGTCTTTTCTTATGATGTTGAATATTGTAATTTTTTACTGACCATTTTAAGGAATTATATCTCTTGGGCAATAAGACTCTTCTATTTAATATACATAATAGAACATGCATTTTAATGAATATTATTTTTCATAATATCTATTCATTATGAGGAGTTATACAAATATTCTACCAGATATAGTCATCTATCTAATCATTAAAAACAAATATTTTAAACTCTTTAAAGAACAGTTGCAATCAATAATGCAAAACTATTCATTAATTTATAGTAACTAAATACTTTTGTTTCAATATCTACTTCTCCTTCCAAAAACCTTATAATGACATATAAGGCCCTGTATGTTCTGGTTGCTTGTCATCCCTTTTAAGTCATTTCCTATCTTTATGCCATTTGCTCACTTGCTCTAGTCACACTGGGTTTTCAGTATTCCTCAAATGATCCAAATATACCCTTATCTTAGAGTTTTGCATTTGATGTTCCTTCTGTCTAGAACATTCTTCCTATAGTTATTATCTTTGCTCATTCCCTCATGTATTTCAGGTCTTTGCTCAAATGCAATATTGAGAGGCCTTTCCTGATTACCCCATATAAACTACTCCCAGCCCCCTTTTCCACTTTACTTTTAATCAAAGCATGGAGATATTGCATTTTCATTTATGCCTTCATATGTTCAATATCTTGTAAGTTTAACAACATTAAAATTAATAAGTTTCATGAAGAGAAGTTACTTGATCTATTGTCTTCAATATTATAGCCCCAGTTTTGCCCAGTGCGCAGCACTGAGTAAATGCTCGATAAATATTTCTTAAATTATTTAGTACTGTCTTTCTCACTCACCCATTTAGTTTATCTCTACTTCCTCATTTTCTATCATTTCTGTTCTAGGTTCATCCTGATTAGCTTAGAGCCTGAGAAGAAAATATACAGAGTCTGAGATAAAAATATAATGGAGACTGGATCTCAGCAATAAGCTCATAGGATAAATATGATTTATTTATCAAGCATGCTTTTTTTGTGTGTGAAAGAAACTAGCCCAAAACTTACCGGCTTAAGCCCTTACATGTTTGCTATCACTAAGTCTGCTGATCTGGGCAGGATAGATTTGTCTAGATGAGTTAGCTTGCTTGAGCTCAGCTGAGCTCATTCACGCACCTGCAGTTAAATGGAGGGTTGGCTGGGCTATGACTAATCTCAGATGGCCTTACCTGAGAGAGGTCAATACATGTGGTTTCTTATTCTCCAGCAGCCTAGGTAGTTATCATTCCCATGGTAGTTCTAGGCTTTAATAAAGAGAGCAGAAGCATTGGCCAAAGCAAATCACAAAGCTATCCCAGACCTGAAGATTAGGAAAACAGTCCCCACCTTTTATAGCAATAGCTACAATGTCATACTGTTGCAAAGGGTATGGTAAACAGAGAGCAAGGAGAAAATTGAGGCCATTTTGTGTTATCAATGTACTAACTCTTCCAATATGGAACTACTTTATCCTTTTCCCTGGTCTCTCTGTCAATTATAGTGATTGTCCTATTGCCCCTTGACTAGCTGCACAACTCAAAATGTGGGCCAGTGTACCCCCATAGCTCTGATTCAGTGGTTGATCAGGGCTCAGAATATGACCACATTACATAATCATAATCGATTATACCATGAGATTTAATTTATAGATGAGATCCCAGAAAAGTCACTCTTCCTTATAGAATAAAAGCTGAAAATATACATGCAGAAGAGAAAGTGGACAAAAGGAGACATGAAAGGCAAAGGGAGAAATAAAGCCCTGACACACTAGTTTAACATTTAGATCTAAACATCCTGATATTAGAATCAATATAAAATCCTATAAGTCACTTTTACATTCCTTAATAAATCCTTTTTTCTTGACAAGGCTTGTTTGAATTAGGTTAGTGCATGCATCAAACTGAAGTAGTCCTAACAAGTCAGAGATAAACCTGTAGGATTTGTCTGCAAGAAGATTAATTGTCATAAATCCATTTGAATGTTTCTTGACCATTGTTGGTGCTTTATATTAATAATTTGAATATAATTGCCAGGAATAAGATTTGTCATGAATTAATAACTTGAGGGTTATCTTTCTAGTCTTTTCACTTTTACACGATGCTCATATACTGAAATAAGATCCTTTTTACTCATTCATTAAATTGATACTTATTCAAAGAAATATCTATTAAGTGAAAGATACTGTGCTAGGCGCTGCATTTTATAAATGAAATAGACAAAGTTATTGTCCTCATATAACTTATTTTTTAATATTATTTAAAATCTTGAGATAGATTTTCTGAAAAATAATTGACTTGTTAGTCTTAATATTGAAATAGTGAATGATGAATGATGGATTATTTTATAAGTTAAGTTTCAAAAAACCTGTTCAGCTGTTTTTGAGACAGGACCAGCAGAGTGAGAAAATCTATTTTATTCCTTTCTCAAAACTTGCCCTTTTCTAATGTCAAGCAACTACAAAACGGATGAACTTTGGAAGTGTCAGTCTTGGAGTATTATGCAATTTGTTCTGAGTATGAATTAGTCAGGCTAAGCCTTTGAGTGCATTAAAAACAAGGAAGATGAGTTGAATACATCCCTAAAGGGCAAAAATACTGTTAGGTCTGCTTAGCTCAGTTTTCATGCCATTTCTTTTACAGTGGAGATTTGCCAGTTTTACTTTACCTTGATCCCATGTGAAGATATCTCCTTAAAAGGTTTATGGCCAAAGCCATAATAGACAGAAGAATTGGAATAATGACATAATTTCCTTTGACTTACTACTCAGAAATGAATAAATCTGCTTTTCATAAAAGATGAAAGATGTAAGGACTTTTTTTCTATATTTGTGGTAGTTCAGCTTTGACTGTACTAGTTTAAAATTAAATAATTCATTTATTTAACCAGTGTTTTATCTGAAAGACATAAAACTATAACTGTGATTTTGTTTTTACTGAATTCTCGAATGATCCAGCCACAGTGGCCAGTGTCTTTAATACTGTTATTATGACTTCTGATATTATAACTTTCAAAATATGAGTACATGCTGTGAAAGCGCCCAGCCATATTCTAAAAAGACAATTTCCAATACAAGCTCTAGGACATGCATGGCAATTTCCACATGCTAAAGCCACAACATGATCCTAGGATGTTAGAATGTAGAAAGGGCTATGGGGGAAAAGAATATAGTGGAGCAAAAAGGAGGAGTACCAGAAACAGGTAGAGAGAAGGACCTGGCTGGAAAGGTATCAACTCCTATTTTGTTTCCCCTTTTTTGCCTTCCCTAGTCCCTGACAGTCTTTACCTGAACACTGAAATCTACCTGTACTTCTGGGACACTATTAATAAAGACAATCTACAGCTACAATATCTCCATTATTTTTTTCTTCTCTGATCTGGGCTTTGTCCCTCCCCCATTGCATGCAATTCCAGTGACCTTGTCAGAGAAGAGGCCCTGTGCTTCCCACCCTGTGCATTGGCCCCATTATGACTCTGTGTGCAGAGATTGGTCCACAGCTGAGCCTGTTACTTAAACAGAGCCAGTCTGGACCCTTACAATACTGATACTATGAGAGAGACCAGTTTCTCTTATATTTATTTTTATACAACATTAATGGAATATTTCTTACATGCCAAACCCTATAGCAAGTGGTTTATATGGAAGAATCATTTAATTCTCAGAAATTTATTATCTTTGATTTTATTTATTATTCTCATTTTAGAGATAAAGAAACTGAGGTTCATCTATGTTAAATTGCTTGTCCAAGGCTATACAGCATATCGTTTCAGGGCTGGGATTCTACACAATACTGGCTTAAGCTACATTCTGCTAACCACCTTGATATCATTTCTCTCCTGGAATTGTAAATTATAAGTACCACATTGCTTGAACATCCTAGGGCTCTTGCTTGAAAACAAAACCCACAGAATAAAAGCACAGATAATAACAATAAAAATATTAGAGAGGGAGAGACTGACTCACAATGACATTATTTGAGCATATATATTCTCAGCCTTGAAATGAATCACACTTCCTCCCTTTTCCCTTTTCCTTCTCCAGTAAATATAGACAAAACAATTATTGTCATGTGATACCCAAGATTCTTTTCTATTGTGTTCTGATAGGCTGGTGATATATTGAAATAACTGTTTTGAGAATTAAAAGTGAGGGTAGATAGCTGCTCTTCCTAGGAATGGCCTCTGGTGTTTATTCATTTACCTTTACTTCCCCCATTCTTCCATTCTAAGGGTCCTATATTACCAAGGACTTTAATAATTTATATCTTCAATTGAATTTGGGTGTGAGGGAGTTGTCACATCTCTATATATCAGAAAGTATTACATAGTAAAAGAAAACCATCTATAGATACTTTCATACTCTATGTCCAGCATCATTTAGAACTCCGTGTTTGTTATAGAACACAAAGGAAATTCTCTGTTCTTTTCAATTTTTGTGCAACAAAAGAATCAGTTTGCAAACAGTTACAGAGAACTCAAGCAGGATACTGCCTCATGCAAAGGTTGCACTTACATACATATTTTGTGTCCCCTTCTCCACTCCAGGCCCTTCTTATGTCCTTACCTACTCATGCCATGTCTCTATTTGGTAGTAATCATGGGAAGGTGTTTCAGAGTTTTCAGTAAAGTACTTCTTCTGGGAAAACTGGATATCTACATGCAGAAAAGTAAATCAAGATCCCTACCTCTCACCGCTCACAAAAATCCACTCAAGATGGATAACAGATTTAAACCTTAGGCATGAAGCCTTAAGAATCCTAGAAGATGTTAGGAAAACCCTTTTGGACATTGGCCTAGGCAAATAATTCTTGAAGAAGACCCCCAAAGCAACTACGACAGCAACAAAAAATAAACAAATAGGATATGATTAAATTAAAAAGCTTCTACACAGCCAAGGAAACTATCATTAGAGCAAATAGACAACCAACAGAATAGGAGAAAATATTTGCTCTCTACACTTCCAATAAAGGTCTGATAACAAGAATCTTTTTAGAACTCAAAAGAATTAAGAAGAAAAAAATCAACCCCATCAAGAAATGGGTAACAGAAATGAACAGAAACTTTTCTAAAGGAGACAGAATAATGGCTTGCAAACATATAAAAAAAATGCTCAACATCTCTAATAATTAGAGAAATGAAAATAAAAATCACAATGAGATACCACCTAACCCCAGTGAAATTGGCCTGTATCAAGAAATCCCAAAACAACAAATGCTGGCGAGGATGTGGAGAGACAGGAACACTCTTATACTGTGGTGGGACTGCAAATTAGTGCAACCTTTGTGGAAAAGAATTTGGAGCTACCTCAAAGAGCTAAAAATAGAAATACCGTTCGATCCAGCAATAACATTATTAAGCATCTACCCAAAAGAGCATAAGATATTCTATTATAAAGACATCTATCTGCTCCTGAATGTTTATGTTGGCACAATTCACTATTGCAAGAATGTGGAAATAACCCAAGTACTCATCAATTTATGACTGGACTATTAAATTTTGGTGTGTATTTACAATGGAATATTACTCAATTATAAGAAATGACAGTGAGTTAGCACCGCTTATATTATCCTGGATTAAGCTTAAGCTCGTTATCCAAAGTGAGGTGACACAAGACCAGAATAATGGGCTCCGCATGTACTCACCATCAAATTGGTACTGACTGATTAACACTATGGTGCTCAAAGGGTCATGGTGTTCACCAGGGATTCGGGGGTTGGGGAGTTAGACTCACATCTGAGGGATGTGGTGAGCATTGTGGAGGGGAAGGGCGAATCTCTAACCCTTGCTAGGGAGAGACAAGGATATAAAATGCAACCAAAATGTTTGTACTCTCATATCTTCTTGAAATTAAAAAAAAAATACTTCAAGATGTTGGATCTTGGCAGACTGCACACTTAGCTCAGAAATGTTACTTGGTAAATAAATTAAAAAAAAAAAAAAGGAATATCTCACACTTTTCACTTCTTATTTTTGGTAGCATATAAACAGAAGTACCTAAACAGGAAAAGCTAAAGTAAAAACAATAAGCGAGTGTTGCTTTTGCACTCAGCACCCACTGACACTAAGAATGCTTATCCTCACGTGGCTGGCAAATCCTTTTAAATACAAAGCCAGTGACCAAACATGATCCTTCTTTTGTCTGGAAAGAGAGTCTGGTGTTTATTCTTCAGCAGTTCTTGAAGCTCTAAACAAACCATGACTTTCTTTAGATACAACTCTGTTGACTCCTCAGGACCTGTAGCTGAATGTCTAACATCAAATAACTTTAGCCTTTAGAACTTATTTTCAAAGTCCTTTCTATTTTGTTCTTGTAAAGCTGCTTCCTACGTAGATCCAGATAAAAATGACCCTTTTTAATTTCTCTGGCTCTGTATTATTTCCTTTACCAGCTGAGGCCAAAGTTTAAATTATCAGTGTGATTTATTGATCTGAAGCATTGTGGTTTCCTTCTGAGGAAGAATTATTTTAGTACGTTGTTATAGATAAATATATTGCCATATACATGTTTATTGTAAACTATTCTAAGGTTTATAAAGAAAGGAGTTCTTACTCTTGCACTGAAAGTTTCCGCTTAAAGAAATCTTTTCTTTTCAATTAAATTTTTGTGAGCATTGGTTTGATTCATTATTAATCTTCAGAATTTTAAACATAACTGTCTTTATTTTTTTAACTTACCAAGGATTTACTAGGTTTCATTGTCTTAAATTAGAAGAATATTAAATACAACCAGCTGGGTGTGTGTGATAAGTGCATTTATACCTGTAAAGACAATATATTCGTTTTTAATTTTTTTTTTTCTGTTTCTTTAGTTCTTTGTAGAAATAGCTACCTTAGCCTTATGCAAATTGATACACTGACTGAATCTAGAAGGTTTGAGTTTGGCTCCTGTTTTAAACTCCCAGTTCCTTAGAGAACCATTAGGAACTCTGTTAACAATTACCAGTAGGCTATATGAAAGTTTTTTAATTGAGTGAGTCATGCAGTATATTCACACTGCAATCTGAAACGACTCTGTTGACTCTATAGTTAGCTTTATCTCCCATATCCAGTTACTTACCAATCCTGTCTATTATATCTGCAAAATATTCCTTGAATCCATTTCATGAGGTCTAGTACAGGCATTTATCGTCTCAAACCTGAAGTATATTAATAATAATTTTCTATGTAATATTCATGCATCCATTCTCTTCTATTCTCCCTATCTATCTTGAACATTGCTGGCTTAGTTTTTTATAAAGAAAATATTCGCAAATAATTCTCCTGTTGACAAATCTTATGACATTTTTTGTTTCAAGATAAAAATCTAAAGTCTTTACTATGGCACCCAGGGACCCTTTGCAAATTGGTTACATCTTAGCTTTCCAGCTTAATCTTCATCCCCACCAAAAACCTATTATGCTTTATCAGTACAAGCATGCTTTGGAATCTCCAAGCACTTTTTACTTTTCCTGATTACTCTAAGCGGATTTTATTCAATGATATTTACTGTGATTTTATTTTGTGTAAGAGAGTTTTCTAAAAGTTAAAATACAGGAAAGATAAAATAGACATGATCTCTGTTGTCTTCTAAATTATACTAGAGAGAGAGATCTAAACAAATAAGTAAACATATATATAGAAATCTGTGACTATATAAGGGTGTTTTTATATATTATATATTATAATAATTTTACATAGTATTGAGTCCTATGAAGACAATTTTAAAAGGGTAATAGGCTGGGCAGTGTTTCTTAACATTACTTGAAAGCAATTTGGACATAGCCATATTTGGCACTTAGCATAATAATAATAGCTAAAATTTGTGGTGTTCTTACTATTAGTACCTGTATTAAACACTATGCATGCATTAACTCATATTGCCAAACCATTTTTACATGTAAATTAACTTGCCTAACAATAACTAGGAAACCTAAGAAGAGAGTCTTTCTCCAGAGCTTAACCACTATGCATGCTGCCTGTCTACACACGGTATCACTGTTGTTTATGTGACTGCCATTCTCTGCCCCCACATTGATTATTAATCTTCTTCTTGGAAGGGATCATGCCCAATTCATCTTTATATCACATGTGCCCAGTGTTTATTCAATGTTAAACACTTTGTTATTTATTACATTTCCATTATACAGTATTCTTGAAGAGGGTATATAGGACGTACTAATCTTGTTAATTACTCTTTGTACAGGCTCAATGGAATAAAAGAGGGAAAGAAGGAGAGAATTCCCAATAGTTTCAGTACAAATTTATTTGAGCTAGAGTGCGTCATAGGCTCTTTCTAAATAAAACACTGTGTACAGAGTGAGGGAATGAGGTTGTACACTCCTCATTCATATCCTAAACTCTCAAAGTAAGACATAGCAACCTCCTCCCTTTGTTGGGAGTTAATTATCCATGAATCTCTCACATTACATCACATCTAGTTACTAATAGCTAAATTTGTCCAGGTTTGTTTGTGTTTCACTATAGTAAAGGTAGAGATGTCTTCCTCCCATACCTGGAGAAATGTTTGCTTACATTTCAGGATAGTAAAGATAAATGTGTCTTTATCCAGAGTAGAGGATGTACAGGTTATCAGCAGCCTCCATAGAAGACCAAGGGCTTCCTAATCCCTGGTTTTCTCTCTTATAATGCATTCCCACTTTGCGTGCATCCAGTACTTGGCCCTAATCATATTGCTATGTGGAAACTGGAGCTCAGTTAATCAGTGTTAAGATGATATTTGGGTTACTGTCATTTCTGTCAGTAATAAACTATCTTTTTCTCTGACCCAGAAGGTTCATGTCTTTGTGCCAGCATATAAAATACAAAACTGGCAAAATAACTTATCTTGCAAATATTGTAAAATATCAAGTCCTTTATAAATTTTTACTAAGTATCCCACAAAAAGTAGAAGAGAGACTATATTCTGGGGAGTCCAAAACAGAAACTGTCCACTACAGAGAGAACAACCTACTGATACAAGGGAGTGTGTTCTGGCCAAAGTTATCTCCCTGAAACAAAGCAGCATCTGGCTGTAGAAGATAATGGGCATTTTTCCCTTAACAAATGAATGAATGATAATACAAATAGTAATACCCCATTTTTCATTCTTTAGTCAGGTAAGAGGATCATCATAAATAATATTTGTAGTTAGATTCCCTTCCAAGGGATTCTAAGTTACACACAAATGAAAGATTTCACCTAAATATCTGTTTCAATGTTGCTGGGGAATTTATGAGAGTTAGAGATCATTGTAATGATAACTTAGTTGATATACTGTTGCCAAACTACATACACTATCCTAATAGAATCTTATGTCTAGCCCAGTCAAGCCACTATTTAAGTAATTAAGAAAT